TAATGTATTCAACTTTTTGAACAATTCATTTATGGAGACAACTCCCCCAGTCATCAGGCATTTACTAATTCAACTGCAGCCCAATTAAAACACCAGCAACCTGTGCTGAGCAAAGAACCTGAATCTAAACAAGTTATAGGCACCTACCCATTAATTTCTTGGGAAAGAGAAGATGCCCTTGTCTCTACAGACACACTCCTAAGATCGATCCCAGAAAAATACATAAAAACTCTTTCTGGGAACGGTGAGGAAAACATCAGAAGAACAAAATGGAAGCCTAAGGGAGACAGCAGCAGCCTGGGAAAGAAGAAGAAGAACAGAAGATCTCCTAAGCAGCATTGACCACACACACCAAGACCAAGATAGCTCAGACACCACTAACCAGGATCTATGTCTTAACATTTTTAAAAATTATATTTTAGCATTGCTCTATGATTCTTGTAATAAGCTGTGTTCACACCCTTGGCTTACAGAAGAGAAAGGTGAGTGGGACTCCAACTTAAGTTTCATCTTCTAATCTCTTTATCTGTTTACTTTTAGGACACCCAAGCCGCCAGAAAATAAATCAGCTAAAGTCAGAGAATGCTGCCATTTGTAGCCTCTGCAGCAGGAATCTGGATACTCCTCACTGAGCCACATGCCTTCAGCTGGGTGCTTCCACACACAAGCCACAATTTCTTGTCCATGGCCATGCCTGTCAGGCATTTGAAGGCAGATGTTTTTTCTACCTGTTGTCACATAGGGAGTCAGTATACCAGGGCATCCAGCTGCTAAAAGATCAAGGAAACAAGATCCAGATGGAAGGCAACAACGACTGGTTCACTGGACTTTCCAAACACAGGGGTTTGCGAGGCTGGCTTTCATCTTTAGTTAAGACAGTTTTGAGGGCTTTGTTTTTTGTATTCATTGTGTTGGTTATTTTATCCATTTTTGCTAACTACCTCCAAAAGTCTATGGCAGAAGCGTTCTTTATAGATAACAAAAAGCGGGGGATGTGAGGGCACAGGAGCCTACCATTGGAACTGTAATACCTCAGGGCAAAGTGACCAAGGTAAAAAAAGTCACCGCTCTGAATGCAATTGTGTTGCCCATGGGCATTTGCAGGCTCATGTTGATGCAGTACGTTTTGCTGGCATCACCCACTTCAACTGCTGCATTTTCCTTATATATACTCCCTCGGAATGTTCCACCTCTCTTGTATCAATTTGGTCCTGGCTTACTGCAATGATCCTGCGCTGTTAACCCCCATATTGTGTGCCCAGCCCCATTTTGTCTCCATTCCTGGACCCTCTTCAGCGCAATCCACACTTTTTGGATTTCCACACAACGATCCCTCTCTTGCCTCATCCATCAGCCATCCAAGCAAGCCGGCTCCCAGCTCTGCAAGTGCAGGTCCCTCACAGAGGTTGCTGTGGGCAGGCTGCAACACAGGAACTGAGTGCACCAGGGACCGGGCTTCTAATAAAAGGCATGAATCCCATCACCCACGCAACACAAAGACTTCCATGTCTTTTCTTTTTCCTTATTCTCTCAGTTCTCAAGCCACTTTCCCCATTTTTTCTGACTGGGAACTTGGCTTGTCTCTCTCGTGTCTGCAGGTTAAGTCACATGTGTAACCCTGTAGGAACAGCCTGAAACAAAGGGAAGTGGGAGAGCACACTTTCTCAGGAACTGTAGTGACAGCACACGGAGGAATGGGATGAAACTGCAAGAGGTGGAAGAGATTTGATGATGGCAAGAAGTTCTTTACTCTCAGGGTGCTTGTCCCTGACACAGGGACCAGTGCAGAGAGGCTGTGGATGCCCCATCCCCAGCAACATCCAAGGCCAGGTGGGACAGGGGCCGCAGCAACCTGCTGTGCTGGGAGCTTGCTCAGCTTGGAACCAGATCATCTTGAGTGTCCCTTCCAAGCCAAACCTTCAAGGATTTGATCATTCTGCCATCCCCATCTCCAACTGAGCAGCACCCCTGAAACTTCAGTGACATCACAGCTCCCAGAGGGTTCCAGGTGGAACGTCCAGGACCTGGAAACGAGCACAGCACACACTTCACCGGCTGCCAAGGGTCAGTTGCTGCTCACCCTGCGCTCTGACCCTCAGCACAGAGCTGCTGCTGCTGCCTTGGCTTTTCCTGCTGCCTGCTCTGGAGCGCCAATCCCAGCACAATGTGCTCTGATGTGCCCATGGAGGTACAGTGCCATGCCAGGCAGGAGGCACCCGGCTTGGGCAGGTTGCAGCCATGTGGGAATGGAAGGTGTGGGACAGGAAGCCCACTGGGAGATTTTGCTGCTCCTTGCAGGCTGACAGAGACACTGTGGAGGCCATGGAAGTGGACCTGGGTATGGAGGAGGAAGAGATGATGGAGGTGGACTCCTCCTCTACTTCCATGTCCTCCCCTGTTGAGGACATGGAAGTAGACGAGGAGGACAACATCGAAGAGATGGAAGTGGATGAGGAGGATGACACCGAGGAGATGGATGTGGACGAGAAGGATGAGGAGGAGCCCATGGTCCTTGGATGAAGATGGAGCCCCACAGGTAAGACAGGCAGATGCTTCCCACGCCCTGCCCACACACCCACTGGGTCCCCTGACGCCAGACTGGGGCTGGGCTGGATGGCCCCGCTCAGGGACACGGTGCCCGCAGGGGGCCTGGATTGTGCTGCCACAAGCACCAGCCCCGGCCTGCCCTGCGCTTGCCTGGGGCCACGCCAGCCCTGCCAGCCCCGGCCCAGCCCCTGGGGCCCAGCTCCCAGCCCTGCTGGGCCCGGTGCTGCCAGCTGAGTCCAGCTCGGCTGCTTCCTTTCTTCCAGGACTCATGCCCAAGATGGCACAGATCCGATACCTTGTAAATACGTTTGAAAGTTTAGAAGTTCCTGTAAATATGTTGACTATGTTAGAAGATTCCTGTAAATACGTTTTGAAGATTGTTAGCCATTCGGATCCCATGTAAATATCTTCTGTACATTTTTGTTGTTGTTATAACAATTGTTATAATGACACATGTTCTGTAAATCCTAGATTTGCCTATCTTCGGCAAATAAATACTGTTTCTTTTGAAAACCTGACTTCTCTTGGCCATTCCTTTGGGAACAGGCAGCCTTTGCACATTTGTGGGTTCCACTTGTTCCACATTCCCAGGGCTGGAGGTCCCTGGGGGTGCTGGCACGGCCACCCTGGGGCTCGGGGTCCCTGTGCACAGGGGCTCCCACTGACACCACTCCTGGCCCTGGGCACTGCTGCTCTTCCTGGCCTGGGGCACAGCGCTGTCCCCAAGAGCTCAGCTCTCACCAGCTCTTACACAGGGGGCTCTCACAGCGCTGGCCCCTGCAGCCATGCCACCAAAGCAGCCAGCAAACCTTCAGCCACCCTTCCTGCTGCAGCCACAGGCACTCCTGGGCCCAGAGACGCCAGCAGGCCACAGCCATGCAAAATCCACCTGCACATGCTCTCAAGGCCACCACAGCCTTGGCAACTGGGCCACCTGCCTCTGGGCTGCTGCAGGGGCTGATCTTTAAGCCTTGCAGCCTCCAAAGGCCCTGGGCTCTTCTTCCCAGCCTGCTCTGCACTGCTCTGAGCCCACATTGTTCCAGAAACAAAAGCCAGGCCAGGGCATCCTCACCCTGCTTGCATTCCTGCTGCTGCCAGTGGCCACTGGCCCCTGGGCCCCACTCGGGTGACAGCTGCAGGGACAGGGCAGCCTGTGCTGGGCAGGGGGCACGGGGCTTTGGGCCCTGGGGCTGCTGCTGCTGCTGCTGCTGCTGGGGGCCATGGGCCCAACAGGGCCCCGAGCTCAGCCCCTGCCCGGGCAGCTGCCCCCAAAGCCCCACACTCCCCGAGCATCCCCATCACAGCTGCCAGGGTCAAATCCCATGGGCTTCAGGAAAGAAATTCCCCATAGTGACTAAACCAAGGGGTCCAAGGGGAAAGTCAGCACCAGCTGATGTTTACAGCACCTTGACAAAGGTGGCTGCAGGGCAGGTGAGATCTCCAGGGCGTCTGGCTGGGCCTGCTCTGCACGTGAGCCTGTGCGGCTGCTCCCAGTGGGACACAGCACCGGGCTCAGGCCAGCCCTCAGCCCCTCACAGCTGATCCCAAGGAGCAGGCTCAGATAGCAGTTTCAGACCACTGCCTGCAGATATTTCAAAGGACTACATGTCATTCTAGGAAGCCACCTTGCACATTTAGTTTTAGTGTCGTAGCATGAGAAGCCATGAAGCTGCCTCTGATTGTGCACTCAGGGCACTTCCACTGCCATCCCAAAGGGATCACAAAGGACAGGCCTCAGCTTTCAGCAGTGCTGAGCTCCTCACCCAGCAATGAAATCTCAGGAAGAGGCAGGAATTATGTGCTCCAGAGATTCTGGACTCCAATAAATCGCATAAATTCTACAGGCTATCTAACCCAATGACCTGCATGTCTCTTTTTCCTCTTTCTCTCATCCCTCATGTCACTTTCCCCAAAACCTACCATTGCACAAATGGCCAAAGCATCAACCATTAGGATATCCTTACACCATGATGCCAGCCTAGCTAAGGCAACATTAGTTTGAGCAGAAGCTCAAATCATTTTGCATGTTGCAGTACAAGATGTCATCACCGCAGTACGGGAGAAAGGTTTTTGTATTGCGGCAGATAAATTCCAAAAGACAGACTCCTGGAAGTAGCTTGGCCTAAAAAGCGCAGAGATAACCATCACACTCCAAACACAGCAAATCAAGGACAACCCAAAGACTTTGCCAGAACTCCACAGGCTGTGTGGAAGCTGTTTTGATGTCGTGGCATGAGAAGCCTTGAAGTGCTCTGAAAGTGTTCTCAGGGCACTTCCACTGCCATCCCAAAGGGAACACAAAGGACAGGCCTCTGCTTTCAGCACTGCTGAGCTCCTCATCCAGCAATGAACTCTCTGGAAGATGCAGGAATTGAGTGTACCAGGGAACCTGGCCTCTAATAAAAGGCATGAATCCCACAGCCCACCCAACCCAAAGCCTTGTATATCTGTACCTTTTTCTTCTTCTCTCTTCTCTCGTGTCACCTTCCCCATATTCTCTGTCCAGGAGTTTGGCTTCTCTCTCTCCTGTCTGCAGGTTCAGCCGCATGTGTGACCCTGCAGGAACAGCCTGACCTGCAAGCAAAGGTCACGTTATTTCAGAGCACTGCACTGCTCCAGCTTGGGGAGGAACTGGGAACTGAAGACATGTGCTCCTCCTTGGGAGCAGCTCCTCCCCATCCCATACAGTGAGCAGTGGGATATCTACCACTGACCCTCCTCCCATCCAGCAGCACCCCTGAAATGCTGCTTTTCCCTCCCAGAATTGCCACCCTGAGCCACCCAAGGTGTCCCTCCACTGCCAGGCTGGCTCTGATCCACAGTGGAGGTGGAACCCTGAGCCCAGCAGACACTGATTCCTTCCCTTCTAGCCCAGGTCCTAGCAGAGCACTAAAACTCCACACCAGGAGTGGATTTGGAGGCTGCATGGAAAAAGGGGAATTGCTATTGATTGGGGCAGACAGAACAAAATGCAGTTGCCAAAGGGAAATCAAAGCATCCGACAGGGTACAGCCAGGTACGCTGCACATCAAGGCTGTGCTGGTGTGGAAATATTGTATTAAAAGGAATTTATGATTACTACTATCTGCCAACAAAAATACACAGAATACATTAAGCTTCTGTTTTAAATGCAGAAAAGATAGGAAATTCAGAGTGGTTTTCATCAGTTCACCACAAACACATCTCAATGGCCAGCCCAGCACTGGGGTGAAGGGGAGGCAATATTTGGTTGCAACCTCTTGATGGCATTTCTTCTTCTCCTAATGCAGGAATTCTGCCTGCCCAGGACAGCAAGGATGCAGGTGAACAGCCACAGAGCTGCTCACAGATGGACAGACAGACCAAAGCTGCTCACTCTCCCCCCTTATGAGGAGGATTTCTTATTCAGCCTTTCCTTTCTCTCTTCCTTTTACCTAAAAAGATACCTGGGATAGAGTAACAGTTTGCAGGAGACAGGGAACATCTCCTACCAAAGGGAAGTGAAGGCAAGGGTAATTATTTTGTAGAATAAATACATGCACTCACAGATAAAAACTCTGGTCTTGGTAACAAATTGATCGATCTCTCCCTGTTCAAGACCAAAGAGACATTTCCCTGATCAAAGGACCTGGTCCTTCCTGTGTAAGACTGGGATGTTTGTCACAATTCAGACAGAAACATTTCAAAGTCTGTAGTCATCCAATAGGTATAAATGCATTTAGAAAGTGCAGGAAAATCCATCTTGGAGGATTTCCTATTAAAACAAAGTTTGCATTTCTGGTAGACTCTCTTTCTCCCCATCAGTCCTGTCCACTGGAAGCTGCATTGGTTGGATATGTGAGAGGACAGGTGTGCTTATCTCCCCATTTTAGAGGAGAATAGGCTACATGTGCCTCCTCCACACTTGGAATGCTTTCCATGGACAGATCTCAACCTCCTACTACTCCTTAAATTTGTGATACACAGGACCTTTAATCTCTGTCTATCTATGGGAGCATCCTCCCCCGCTGAGAAGTTGGGCTCTTCAGGAATTTGGTGCCCTCACCAATGTGTGCCCCTTGCTGGCAGTGGAGTGCTGGTCAGAAAGGAGTTTGTAGGATCTCCATGAAAAGGGCAACATCACATCTCCTGTCCCTGGCTCGGGCAACACCAGGACAGGGCTCTGCCAGCAAGGAAAACACAGCCAATGCTAACCTGCTCTAGCGGGAGACGTCCCTGCCCACGGCAGGGAGGTGGAACAAGGTGAGCTGTGAGGTCCCTTCCAGGCCAGGCTCTGAAGGATGAAATGCCATCGCGGGCTGAACGGGAGGCGGGAGGACGATCCCCTCCTCTGCAGACACCGCCGGGGCCGGGCTGCCTCCCCCCAAAGCCCAAAGCGTTCCTGACCGTGCCACCAGCGCTGGGCAGGCCAGGTCACAGCCCCAGCAGTGGCTGTGGCAGCTCTGGGCTGTCACACAGCCGGGAATGGCCCCCGACAGGGAGCACAGCACAGCTCCAGCTGCATCCAGCCACAGCAGCCTGCCGGGGAGGGGAAGGAGGTGGATGGAATCCCATCGAGGGAATCACCCAAAGGGAAAGCACAGGAGCAGGCTCCAGAAGGGTGGGGGGCTGGGGGGCCCAGCCCTCCTGTTTCTGTTCTCAGTGCGAGAAATGCTACTCACTTCCAAAAAATTTAAAAGGTTTATTAAAACCTTATCAGAAATACAACAGCAGATGGAATAGAGAAAAGATTACAGCGCTGGGAGCAGAGGATTTCCCCACCATGTGCTCACCCACACCAGGGAGGTTTCATCTTGTAACCCTTTAGCCCCCCCAAAGTTCTGTCCATCGACTCCTCCTTCCCTACCCAGGGGTAGAGATCCCTTCCTGACACCTTGAGTGGGGTTCAGGTGCTGCCACAGGAACGAGTGACCCTCCCAAATGTCCCAAACCCAGGGCATCCCTGATAACAACACAAGGGGGTAAAACATAACTATAAAACTTCTCTTAACATTTCCCTTTTAATTGTGAGAGTCAACCATGGCATTACTCATCTGTCTAATCAGCAAGCAGAAAACAAAACCAAACCCAGGCCTGGTGCTCATGAGCTGCATGCCCAGCACAGCCAAATCCCCGAGGCTGCATCAGCCAAGGCACAAATCCTTCCTGCTCCTCCTTTGCACACTAAATGGGGTTTAACCAGGAGACTCCGAACCCCAGAGCAAAACTCACAGCCCTGATGTGTTTAAGCAGCTCTTGGTGCTCCAGAGATTTCCCCTCCCCACCCAGCACAGCAGCCCAGGTTCATGGCACAGCAGGACAAATGCGCTGCTTTAATAAAGAAACCATGAAAAATATCTCTGTTTTCAACAAAAAGATTGACACTGACACATAAAAATGTTACAGCTGCTCAAGGAAGGTCTTCTGTCTTATTTAGTTTGGGGTATTTTGAAGTCAAAAGTGTGTTTGAGGGTGTGTTGGCTTGAATAATGTGATTAAAATTGCTGATTTAGACAAGTAAGCTGGAAATACTAAATTTTAATCATGTTTCAGTATGTAGCTTCTAGACATTTCCCTTAAAAATAGTTGATTCTCTTTGATTTCTATAATTTGATACTATTAAACAACTGGGAGCACACACTGGAGCAATACATGTGTATGCAATTACAAAGCTTCACATGCTGCTAAAACAGAACCATTCTGTTAATAGCTTTTTCCCAAGAGAAATTAATTTTTTACTTATTGTTTGCATTAAGTTGCATTTGGGAAATGAAACTCAATTTAAAAAATACAAAACCACGCTTTCATTTAAGCCATTTCGTAACATTTTTTCTCCTTGACACCTCAGACAAATAAAATATGTGTATTCACAGGTAGGCACTGCATAGATGTGCTACTGAATTGTCCCTCTTCCCTGAGAGCTGCAAATCCTACAGCTGCCAGACCTCATCCCTTGCTCCTCATAAAGGGAAAGAAGAGTTTCCATTCCAGTTAATTTCCCAGCTCTAAATCAACTACCCAGTGAGTAGAAATAGCTGTGAAATCCCCTCCACAAACCTGCCAGAAGGGTTCCAGCTGTGGAGAGGGAAGCAGCAAATTCCTGCTCCCACAATTGGTTTGGAACCCTTACCAATTAAAAAATATCCCACTCTTGGGATTTTTTTAACCACAACTAAAATAAATTGAAATCAATTAAAAATAAGATCACAGACTCACAGAATGGCTTGGGTGGAAAGGAACCTTAAAGCTCATCCAGTGCCACCCCTGCCACAGCAGGGACACCTCCCACTGTCCCAATGTCCAGCCTGGCCTTGGGCACTGCAAGGGATCCAGGGGCAGCCACAGCTGCTCTGGGCACCCTGTGCCAGGGCCTGCCCACCCTCACAGGGAAGAATTCCTCCCTAATATCCAATCTGTACCTGCTCTCAGTTGGAATAGGTGTTATTGCATTGCCTTGGGATGATAGATCAGGAGAAAGCCCCAGGGTGTGAGCAGAGCTCCCAATGCCGCTGCTGGGGACGTGCCTCCCACCTGCCCCTCAGTCACTCAGCTGCCTCACAGCCAAAAAGACAGTGTCCAACAGGAAAAGTACTCCCAGAGGATGAAACCCTTGTCACTGCACAAATGACAAGGTCTTTATTGGGAATAAATGTCAAAGCAGAGCGACAGCATTTATTTTCCAGGCAGGAGACACTGATCCTGTGGCGACACTGCAGGGATGGTGTTATTCCTGCTCCTGATTTAATCCCTTTATCAGCTGCAGAAGCACCAGGACAGGCTTTGGTCTCCCATGCCAGCTCTGACGGACACTGCTGTCCCCACAAGCTGTCCCCACCCCTGGGTGCTGCCTCTGCAGCCCAAAGCACTTGGAGGTCCCTCTGAGCACTGGCACTCCTTCATTTGGATGCGCGCTGTCCATAAAGATGCTTAGAGAGACGCCGAGGAAGACTTTAATTTATAGCCCCATTCTTTTAATCTTGGTCAGACAGATTTTTTCAGACATCTGTTTATATCTCCTTATAATATATTGACTGGAGCAGCAGCACCAGGCAGCAGCTCTCTCACAGGGGCTCTGCTGACATTTATAAACCAAAGCAATTTCTCTCGTGTGCTTTATGTTATCAGCTAAACCTCTCCACTTAAATTACTGCCTTGTAACCAAATCACAACTATCTGTTATTCTGCTCTGTGCACGTTTCCCAGGCTCTATACCAATATCAAGCTTTGCAGAGGCTAAAAACAAGATGAGAAATTAATAAAAAAATGGAAAACAGGACATGCTTCCACCAGGCTCACAACTGAGGGAGGATCAGGCACGTTGTGCACCACATTAGTAAAAGCAGAGGGCTGCTGGTGGAATATGCAGCACGAAGTGATAACCAAAGAACCCCATCTCTCTTCTTCTAGAGCAACCAAATGATCAGCTGTGTTCCCTCACTAAAGGAGAAAGGTCTCATCCTGGACTCCTTTCCAGCACATCATTCCACATTCCACAGGTGGGTTTGTGTTCAAGCATGGGGACAGGGCTGAGCCCCAACTCACTGCACAGCTACAGGCTGGCAAGTTGTACATCACACACTG